GGAAACCGGGATCGTGGGTTCGAATCTCACTCAGGGCATGGATGTTTAGTTTGTGTGTGTGCGTTTTTCTGTGTTTGTGTACAGGTAGAGACCTTCCGACGAGCTGATCACCCGCCCAAGGAGTCCTACCGAATGTGTAAGATCTAGAAAAACCGAAGTGAACGGAGAAGTTCATGGAGGTAGGCCTAGGCCCAACGGGGATGTAGTGCCAATTAAAAAAAATCGATACATGACATTAAAATACACACTCATGATCGCCAATAATTTTATCTACATATGAAGTTAGCCTTGAGAGAAGAATATTGTACACCAATCAGTGTGTAGTTCATAACAGTAAAATTCTCGGTAATTACTCTAGAGGTCACACATTTTTATGAATTGGTAACTTAAATAGATTTCCGCTAATCTATCAATTCTTCCTTGTTCCTAACATAATTAACCTTTAAAGACCGATTTTTTCCAAACTAAATATAAAAATTCAGTTCGTACCTTACAGGAAACAAATTGCGTCTCCGCTACAAGGACCAACCGGTTAATGCTGTTTAGGAAAACATTCGATACTTATTGTGAGAACCATATTAAACACACAAAGACACTGTGTGGGCAGAATGCAGAATTCTAGTATGTTAAACCAGGTCTTGCATATAGTAACCATTAGGCTTTAAAAGGTTAATAAGACTGTGGATCTCATGCTATGTTTCATCTCTTGCTTGGATCAGTTTTACCAGAATTTAATCAATATCTGACGATTTATAATACCTTTCAAATGTCAAATAGCAATTTCACCTTCCAAAAATCTAGGCTCTGGTACTAGTGGCTCCGCCGTATGTATTTCAGTGTAACTCTGTTAGCCACATTTACACTTACACTGCACGCAGACACACACCCACAGACGTACCTAGTGAGATACTGAAATTACGAGTACACCAATGCCTGTGTTGCGAGATTAAGCTGTTTACTAACACCGAAATAACGTACGAATAGTTGACCGTGAACCTGGTCCTGTCGCATCTGAGTAGGTCTCGGAACGCAGAAGCCAAACGGTCATCGCGATGCTTGAACGTGTCTTGGTTACTACGCGCTTATTTTGTTAATCAGTTTTTTTGCCACTCGGTTGAGTTGCCATGGCGTCTCTACTGCCAGTTTACTTTCTCTTAGTGACCGACGCTGATGCCCTAGTTCTCTTCTACATAATCGCCAAGCTCAACACTGCTTCCTGTCTGCTGCTATAGTAATTACCTTGTTGCGAATCAAGACCTATGACATTCTTTACAGTTTCCGGTTTCTTGTCTGTATTAGGCCGACTAGAGCATTAAGAGCATTAAGAGGCCCAGTGTCAGGCTCCATCCCACATCCCGACTTTCTTAGGTTATCGTTAACCTTCTGCATGGCCACGCCATGGCTCAAGCAGTTAGTCGCTGGCTTCCCACTGCGGCGGCCCAGGTTCGATCCCGGGGTCTGGTCAAGTGGGATTTGTGGTGGACAAAGTGGCGCTGGTTTTCTCCGAGTACTTCCGTTTCCCCTCCCAATCTTCATTCCCCCAGATTCTCCATCATCATAATCACCCAGGGCAGGCTTACAATAGGACCATCAGTGGCCGCCGTGCCGAGTGCACCCAGTTGGACTCCACCCCCCACTAAGCGAATTAAAAAAGAAAAAAAAGCTTCTGCATGCTGCGCACGAAATTGTTCATGTTGACAAGTATCTGGCTGAAGACGACCGGTAGGCAAAGGTTTCCCGCCTGTTTTTGTTAGTTGCATTTGAATTATTTGTTTTTTTTTAGTGATAGACGTTATACCTTCACATAAAGTTATGGTCATGTAAAATATATTTAAATAACAACCAGTATGGAAATGGTTAAGAGAAAAATTAGAAAGCTGTAAGTGGAAAGCGTGTCAGTTTGTCCGTGAAAATATTTTCATCAACATTTTACATTAATAAGACGATGGAGAAAATTGCATAATGAGGAAATTAATAATTTATACGTTTCATCTAATATTGTTAAAGTAAAAAAAAAGACGGTAAAGTTGTCCCTGTGCTTAACTAATTAAGCATTACGCCATGAAGGCGTATGGGGGAGTGGATGTATACATCCACATTTTCTTGACCTCGGCACTAGTTGCAGGCGAGTGATGAGCTTCACGCCCCGGGGAAAGATCCCCCAGTACCCACTGGTTAGAAGGTTTGGTAGACCCCAGAGTCGGTCTGGACGACGTGGAGAAGAGAAAATTCTTGACCCTACCGGGGCTCTAACTCCGACCACTCGGTCGTCCAGCCCGTAGGCAGTCGCTACACCAGCTACACTCTAATACTGTTAGGATGATTAAATCTGGGTACATGATGGACAGGATATATAGCACGCAGGAGGTAAACAGAATTGCATACAAGCTTTTGGTCGGAGCATTTCAAGTGAAGAAACAAGTCGGGAGACATAGGAATGGATTTGCATCGAAAGATACCACGTGTCAGCGTTGTCAGCAGAGCAAACTACGGGCATATAGTGTCGAAAGACAGGGTGGTTAGCGGTAAAAAAAGATGAGGCATTTTTGCGCCATTTGCTTGGAGGAACTGAAGAAAGTCACGAAAATTCTCAGCCAAGAAACCTGGCGTCCGGGTCGAGATTCTAATCAGGCCTCTCTCTAACACGCATCAGCAGCGGTACTGCTTCAGCCAATTTACTAGCTGAAATAATAACCTTCAGTGATACATTATTGATTCAGTATTGAGGGGGTGGGTTTCCCCATGCACCGCGACTGATAGTCTATTGTACATCCCCCTTTTAATTTCTACCGTCTCCATCCCCTACCGATACTGGTGCTCGATATCAGCCCCTTTCTGCCAGCGAGGTTTCTACCCTCTACTTGGCAGTGGTATCTAATAATTAGTCTCTTTCTGTCAGCGAGGTTGTCCCTCCTCTGGTAGTGGTACCTAATACTTCCCCATCTATCGGAGGCATTGGAAACTATTTGGGCGGGTAACTTTTTGGCCTAATTTAGCTCAGAGGCCTCCTAGAGGCATGAAGTTCTTTTACGTGCCGTAAATCTACGACACGCCCTTAAAAATTCCACGATCTCTGCCGGATTTGAACCCGCATACCTTGAGTCATGAGGTGGGAACGTTACCCCTAGACTACGGAGGCCGCTAAATAATAACCTTATTATAAGTGATCTTAAGTATATAAGTCTTTACAGTTTATACCAGCGCTATCTGGCTTGGGGCTGTGTCCAGACACTGATCCTTTGTGAACGCGTAGAAGGAAATTCCTTCGATATGAAGTAAGAAGTTAAGAAATGTAGGCATACACATTGTGTGACAATTCTTGTGTTTGTTCGCCTTTATTTATCACAAAAGCCGCAGAATTCACGTGAAAACTGTGCTGGGCATAACGTGTATCTTCACTCCTGTCTAAAAGTTGTATTTGAAACATTTTTCGTACAGATAAATACTTAGCGACTTAACATTGCGGCAGTGCAGGGCACACTTGACATGCGGAACAATACATACTTGTATATCTTCATGTAAACTGGAATCAAAAGTGAATATGAACACACATTGTATTAAAAATACATCCCTATCAATTTCACGAAAATTCATTCAGTGGTTTCAGAATAACTCCCCCTTAAATCCAGCTTTGGATGTAACGCAGTATAGTCTGATAGACAGGTACTGAGGTACCAATGGCTCGAAGTATGCTGCCTCCAACTTCAGATACTCCTACACCCTGAAGACTGAGGTATCAGATCCCTCTGAAACACTGTTACCCATCTACCAAATTACACAGCATCATATCCCAGAAGGCAGGTATCTTCACAGTGAGAACATCAAATCCAACATAGCCTAACCTAGTCCACACTCACACACTACTTCCCCCAAATCCATTTAATATCCTCTCTCCATACATAGCTATCTCTTCCCTCAAGGTTTTTCAGCCAGAATTTTATTAAAATTTCTAATATCCTACATGAATCACATATCTCATATACATATTGGTTTTGGAAATTCCAGCAAGTAGGTTTGCCTGTATCTTTGAGTATTCATTTGCTAACAGATAATGATTAATAACAATCACTGGACATTTACTCCATAAACAAGTATATGGGATTACTAGGTACAAGAAAAGCACATTGATCCTTTCAGTTCCTCAGACTCGGCAGATCACAGAAATCATGTTATACAGTTTGCCTCTGCAACACACATGTTCTGGCTATGGAGTTTTGTCTTTAGAGAAATTATAAAACATGACCATAAAATTCAAGATAGGGATCATGATTTTTTTTTAAATTTGCTTAGTGGGGGGTGGAGTCCAACTGGGTCCACTTGGCACGGTGGCCACCGATTGGCCGGGGAAACCGAAGTTCTCGGAGAAAACCTGCCTGAGCGCCACTTTGCCCACCACAAATCCCACTCAATCCAAGCTCACAGACACTGTTGGGATCATTTATGGAGTTTGCTAGATCTTAACAGAAAATTTGATCATATGCCAGATTGCTCATTCATCATGACAACATGCCCGCCCACATGTCCATGAAAACTACAGAGTTTGTGACTAACAACATGGTTATCTTTCCCCATCCTCCTTACTTGCTGGACTTAGCCCCTGTGGTTCTGCTTTGTTTTCCAAATTGAAAATGAAACTGGAGGAACAACATTTTGAAACAGTGTCTGACAGCCAAAGGGAATCATAAGCATTACTCAACAGCATTAAGGAAAATGACTTCAATGGTGCTTTTGAAGCATGGAAAAAATGATGGATTGATGAACAGATTTATTGAACAGACACCAGTCATAACTACAAATAATTATAACACTTTGAAAGGTTACTGGCACAATAACACATAAAGTAGCGTCTTCAACAACTTCCACTCTTAGATGATCCTTTTATGAATTCAGTGAGCAGGTCTGTACCCAGACTCCTCTCCTCTGTCTTGTTCTCAGACTGGGCTTGTACTACTCAGTAGGACTCTCCAGTCTATCTCTTCACTAGCCCGTCTTCTCTTCTCTTCTGTATTCCCTCTCTGGTCAATTCTCTTGACCTAAGGTAGTTTACACCAACTAGATATGGAACACTCCTGCAACCATACACTTTGTTTTTGCAGTTGTCATCAAAATGTGTCTTGTGTCTTTCATTGCTGTGTGAACACTCTTTACTTAGTGGTTGTAATGGAAACTTTTCTGTACCTGTTGCCCAGGAATCCATGTCTCTGTCATAACCTCGGAGACATGTTTCAACAAGCAGTTATCTAGCAATGGATTTACATGTCACAAATATAGGTTTGTTTATGTACTCAAAAAGACAAAGAAATTGCAATGAGCTGGACAACAGCCAGATCAGCAAATGAGGTGTGTACAGAATTCTGCAAGGAATAAACATAACAGCCAAAGGAGATGTGAGGATAATATTGAATAATCTTAAAATGGGTTGTAAGAATGTGATGCAACAACAAAACATTCAGGATTAAGATCACCGGGTGATTTCAGTATTAGTATTACTGAACCTGTCAGTTAAATTATACCCTTAAGCTACTGGGCTATTATATATTTTGTAGTTCACAGTACTATACAACAGATTTTAGAGTTTAAGGTCTAAGGATCTTCTTGTATTACCTTTGAATTGCTGACTTTGTTGTTGTTTAGAGCTTAAAAAGTGGAGTAGGAAGCAGGAAAAACAGAGGAAATACATATTACACTGTAATATAAACATCTACAGCATGATACTGAAATTTTCTGCTAAATCGCTAGGAGTGGAATCAGGTTTCAAGTTCTTCATATATACATCTAATTCATCTTCTTCTTCATCAGATTCCTGTTCAATGGCAACAAGCTCAGGGGTTTCAGAATCAAAATACTTCTCTTCTTCATCTTGTGATCTCAGTGCCAGGCACTCATATTCTGGATTCAAGTCTACCTGACTGGAAACACAAATGGAGACAAACAGGATTAGAAATTAAGGTCTGACAACATCATCCTCTACAAACAAAAAAAACAAATTCCATGGCCTGTAGTCTGCAAGCAAACTATACCGACTGAGCGACCGCCGCTTGTCGGTGAAATTAGTGCCAAATTTAGTGGATACAGGGTGTCGCATGGTCAGTGCAATGGATTTCTTTTTATTGCTACTGGGGTGGGAGTAAGTCCTTTCTACTGTGGCCACTTCTGGCCTATTGTACCACCGGTGCAATGGATCCCCACGGCCGTTAATCTCGGTTTTCTAGACCGGAGCCACTATTTCCTTGAAAGAGCTCCTCAGTTATCCTCATGAGGCTAAGTGGACCCCATACCAGACCCACTACTTCTCAGAAAATCTGGTAGCACAGGGAATCAAACTCGGGACCTCTGGCCACTAGACCACAGAGGCGGTCCATCACCTTCTGCACACTTCCTTATAAGAACCCTGTGTTGACTCAGTTACAGTTCATGTCATCACATCCTATTTCAATAACACTAATTATCTACTAAAAACTGTATCCCAAATGGGCTCTCACCTTGCAATTTTCCAACTAAAATTTTGTGTGCATTTGTTCCATATGTTCCACATGCCCACTTTGTCTTAATGCTGATGATCTAATTAGTGTAAGTTAATTCTCTCAATAATGGCAAAAGCTATGAAATGCCAGTCCCATCACTGACTTTACTGCAGTGAGCCATTTGTATCCACAAGGAAAATGAAAGACTTCTACCATACTGGGGTACCTTCAAACATACTGCATAAGCAGTTGTGAACAGCTGACACGGGGTGGTCCTCCAGGTTGGGGGCTAACATATATATAATTTTAGTGCCCCATAAAGACATTTATTATTATATTATAATAACCTTTAGATGTAGTAAAAATTAGATTTATATACTGTTATTTGTACTGCATAATGTAAAAATAAATGGAGGATCGGTGCTAGGAAATCCCACTGCTGTTTCAAGATATACATTTTCATTTTCATATGTGGAATTTTCACCATCCACTTTGCTGGTTGAACAGTCATATGAATATCAATATATTTCCAAAAAACTAACCTGTAGTCAAATTCTTCATCCCTTCCTTCCAAAAAACTGCGATACATGTTACTAACAAATTCTTCTCTCAGCAAATCCTTCTCTTTTCCTGACATATATACGTATTTTCTTTTCCTAGTCGAAGATGAACAACTTCCACTTCCTTCATCATGATTCTCTTGATCATCGCAAGATCCACTTTCAGTTCTGTGTTCACTTTCACTATTTTCATCTTCATAATCATCATCCTCTGCTTCCTCTTCATCACTTGTGTCCATCTCTTCCACTGCGCCATCCTCGTCATCCTCCTGCTGTTTTCTCAAGCACAGCATCTGGTCTCTTTCAATCTGTGCCAACAGCAGATTCACCCAAGAACTGTAGGCAAAACAGCCATATTAAGTTTTCATAATTTCTTAAACTAAACAGAATACAATGAAATAAAGGAATTTTGGTGAACTTAACAGAGGGAGTATAGGAGTTCTTTAACCTACTGCTCATTAGCAGTCTCCAAGGCCTGATCAGCTGATCTGCTGAATCCATACCATGTCTCTGTGGTATTTCAAATTTCAGTCTTAGATCGAGCTAGTACTTAATCCTGTCATAAAGAGATTGTATCTTTGACTCCTGCATATTTCTTTGATCAAGTAATGCACTTTACTTAAAAATGTATGGAGGCACATGGTAGAGTAGTTGGTTGAGACACTATGCTACAAGCCGGAAGGTTGAGGGATCAAGTACCGATGAGGTGGATTTTTTCAATTTACCTAATCCTTCCAGATGCACTATGGCCCTGGGATCGGCTNCCATAGTGCAGCTGGAAGGATTAGGTCAGTTGAAAAAAATCCAATGACCTCATTGAACACGCAACTGGCACGTAAGGCTGACAGCCTTACCATCATCTGTGAGCTGATTGTCTAGATAATGTGGGACCCTCAACATCTCACAACCCTATGAGTCTCCGTGGCCTGTTACACGGATAGCTTTACGTTCTTTTTACTTATAACTTTACACCAAAGAACATCCCAAAAATAAGATAACACTGCAACACAAGGACTTGCTGCCACTTACATGAAGCAGCATGGACAAGGACGGTGCCATTAATAGAACTTTTTAAGTATTTCAAATTAAAGGTGCCAGTACATACAAAACTGGCACTATCTGATAATGTAGAATTATCATTTAATTTTCAATATTTAATGTTTCAAAAGGTCTTAACCCTTTAAGGCGCAGTGGCAACTATAGTGACACTTGATTTAATGTTAAAAGCTTTGGATTTTTCCCCATAAAAGTGTATTTATGCATCTGACATTATTTTCAAAACAAACAGCATGAATTAGTGGGTCTCTGTAATGGAGATAGTTTGGACTAAACTTTGCACCTATAGTAGCTGGGGAAATGTGCAGGAGCATAAGCGTGTGTTGTCACTACCCACTGTGCCCAGCTAGCATTCTCAACAGAGCCTTGAAGCCAAGTATAGAACAGTACAGTACTTTCTGTGAGACAGGAACAAAATATGTAAATATGAAGTTTATCTAAATATTAAAAGGATCAGAACTCAAATTTATTGAAAAACACATATTTACAGGAAAACATGTTTTAATGCTCAGAAATACAACAAATCTGCAGTGATAAGAACTAGCTTTATCTAGCAGCTGTTGAGAATAAGCTTTTCTTATCCTGAAAAGAGACTGAACCACCCCTTAAAACATGGCTTAATTACACAATGTGATATGTCCAAATTATCTGTTTCTCCATCAGTGGTCCCTTCCTCTATTTGTTGTAGAATCTGATTTGATATGTACCTTCTGGATAAAGTCATATTATTATTTTATGTTTAAATTCTCAGAAATTGTTTAAATTTCTTTCTAAAATTTCTAGGGAAGAATTATAGGAGTTCAAAGTTGGCATTACTTCATATTAAGTGTTAAGGTACTACAGTCTTATTAAAACTGTATGCCTATCCAAATTATTTTATTTTTATGATGTACTCCAATCATATCATAAAATTAACACAAATGAAATGAACTCAAAAGCTAATATTATTTTATATATCTGTTCTCTCTGATAGGATTTCTTACATAACCAGGAAAATTTTACTGAGGGACTAAACATTCTAATCATTGTGCTAACACAGAGCAACAAGAATATCAGTATTCTTATGCCAAAAACCATCTGTCATAAAAACTCCATGGCTTGTAGTCATCAAGCGAACTATACTGACCAAGCAACCGTTGCTTGTCGACGAAGTTAGTGCCAACTTTTGCGGATAGAGGGTGTCGCGTGGTCAGCGCAACAGATCCCCACAGCCATTAATGTCGGTTTTCTATAGTGGAGCCGCTATTTCCTTGAAATAGTTCCTCAATTATCCACATGGGACTGAGTGGACCCTGTTCCAGACCCACTACTTCTCAGAAAATCTGGTAGCCCCAGGAATCGAACCAAGGACCTCTGACAATGAGACCACAGAGGCGGTCAAAACCATCTGCCATACTTAATGAAATCTGAGGTTCTCATGACCAGACTATGAAACCTGCCATCCTCTGGGATGTGACACCCTAATCATCATAGTCTGCCAGACTAAACGTAGTCACATCCCAGAGGACAATAATCTTCATTGCTATACTTAGGGTTTGTACTTTGTCTGAAGTCCATGACTTGGGGCACTTTCTTGGTTTCCAGTACATAAGGCAGTCTGCGATAGAAGTTAATGGATGGACAAATGGAATAAAGAATAGTTTTCTGGTAGTACACAATAGCATAACATACAGGTTCCTTATTTTTATACATCACAATAATATAAAGAATCAGAAGACAAGAAAAGATGCAAATACATAACTGACTTTAAATTAAGTACTGTACAATAAAGACTCAGCCATGTTGGAGGCTCTCACGCATGAAAATTAACACTGCCCTTTCCTTACATTTTAAAGGTACAGCTTTCTGTAGGATCTGATGTTCTCACAGCAGTGGTTATGAAGATTATAACTCTGTACTACTTTCTGTCAAAAGACATTCAAAATATTGCCCTTCATGCAGACATTAGTTACATTTGATTCTTGGCACCTTTCTTTCTATAAAAAGAAGACTGATTATGACTATGTAAATAATGGGAACATAAAAATCTCTTTCCTAAGAACAGCTAAATGTTATATTCTTGCTTAATTCAGTACCCTTTCATACATAAAGATTATACACCTTTAACTATAATTCATTAGACATACTTGATATCTTTCATGTCTGCATTCCTTCTGTCTTCAACTTCTGTTTCTGTGAGATACTGCCCAACCAACTGCTGATACAAGAGTGGGTTCCTCTGCTTCATCTCCTTCTCACTAAAGTAAATTCCCTCTTTCACCAACTTTTTTAATGCTTCAAAGCGCCGATTTTTGACATCTATCTAGAAATATATGATTAATTATGAGCACTGAATTTACAGTACCTTCTATAATGATATCTAGAATGATGTAAGATAGCTCAGTCAATAAAGTGATTGCCTAGAGCCTGTACAACTGGAATTCAAACCCTAGCCATGGCTGGGAATTTTACCTTTCCCACCACATTGGGAATGGATCATCCGGCTTCTTATCTGGTGGGAATGTGCCTCTTAATCTGAGGGTAAGAGGGTGTGAAGCTTTAGTGCACACATCTTCTGGGAAACTTTATCTTTTAAATTTATACATATTGAGGGCATTGATTTCCTGTATGGTACCTGGATATTTTATTTCAATTGCATGGCATTCATGAACAGAAGCTGTGGCAGACATTATTATATTGTCCACCCACCTATGCCTTGGTCTTCCCAGTGGTCTCTTTCCTTCTGGTTTTCGTATCCTATACATATTCCTTGGCTCCCCTACATGCTATATGCCCTGCCCACCTCATCCTCCTTGACTTGATCATTCTAATTATACTTGGAGAAGAGTACAAGTTATGAAGCTCCTCATTATGCAGTTTTCTCCAACCTCCTGTCACTTGATCTCTCTTCAGTCCAAATATTCTCCTCAACACCCTTTTCTCAAACACCCTCAGTCTATGTTTCTCCCTTAATGTCAGACACCAAGTTTCACACCCATACANTCTTTATGGTATCTACATTATCACCCAGTAGATTCACATCATTGGTATAGGCCAACAGCTGATGTGTCCNCTCTGTGTTTACTTCTAGACCAACCTCTGTACTTGCGTCAATTAAAGTTAGTGTGTTTTTCTTTATGGTATCTACGTACATTATCACCCAGGAGAGTCACATCATCAGCATAGGCCAACAGCTTATGTGTCCTGTTTAATTTCAGTCCCACCTGGTTTCCCTGGACCTTCCTAATTGCATATTCTAAAGCAAAGTTGGAAAGCAGTTACGATAAAGCATCTCCTTGTTTTAGACCATTCTGGATAAGAAATTTATCAGACAAATATTTACATACACGGACTTTACTATACATTTCGTTTAAACACGTTTTAATCAACCTAACTAGTTTCATGGTTATCACAAATTCTATCAGAATATTTAAAGTAATTCCTTCCTAACTGAATCATAGGCTTTCTTGAAGTCTATGATTAGCTGATGTACTGTTTCATTGTACTCCCATTTTTTTTCCAATATCTGACGAATGCAAAAGATCTGATCTGTAGTTGATCTGTTATGTCGAAACCCACACTGATGATTCCCAATAATTTGATCTATATATGGACTTAACCTTGAGAGAAGAATATTGGATAAAATTTTGTATGAAGTTGATAGCAGTGATATCCCCTGATAGTTACTACAGTCAGTTTTATCACCCTTCTTGTGAACTGGTACAATAGTAGACTCCTTCCACTGATCAGGCAATTTTTCCTTATGCCAAATAGAAGTAATTAGATTGTGGATCTTAGCATGTAATATTTCACCTTCTGCTTGAATAAGTTCTGCCAGAATTTGATCACTACCTGGTGATTTATACAGTTTCAATTTTGCAACAACAATTTCAACCTCAGAAGGGCTAGGATTACATACTAACGGCTCAGCTGTATGGATTTCTGTCTGCCTAACATCACTGACCCTCTGTACATTCAATAAATGAGAGAAGTAGTTCCTCCACCTATTCAAAATGTTGTAGGAATCTGCAAGCAGATCACCATTCTCATCCTTCACTAAGTTACTGCTAGGCTGGTAACCCCTCTTAAAGTCATTTATTCCTCTATACAGGTCTCTAATGTTCTTGTTCTTACTGTTCATTGCAAGCTCATCAATTTTGTCTTTCAGATATTTCCTCTTTTTGTTCCTGAAATGCATGCTGGTTTCACATCTTATATTGTTCAGATTATCCCCATTTAACTCGCTTGGATCCTGTAACCATTGCAATTTGGCCTGCTTTCTTTGATCTAATAATTTTGAGCATCCTTCATGGAACCATGGCTTATGCTTCTTCGGTTCACAATAACTTAGACTCCCTTTGGCAGACATTTTTATGTTCTCATAGTTTCCCAAGCTTTATTAACATCCACCTCAGTGTCCAAGTTCTCCAAAGCCGCAAACCTATTTGAGATATCAACACAACACTGCTCTTTACCCTCTACCTCATTTAATTTCTTGAGATTGAACCTCTCCATATAAACTGTGTGTGTTGTTTGTTTGCTCACTGCCAATCTTTCCCTAACCTTTGCCACCACCAGGTAGTGGTCAGTATCACAATCTGCTGCCCTGAATGATCGGACATCAAGTATACTTGAATGCCATCTCCTGTCTATCAAAATATGGTCTATTTGATCGTGTATCTCCCATCAGGAGATGTGAAGAGTTGTTAGCCCCACGCCCAACCCCCAAGCTGGAGGATCACCATTTGTTGGCTGTCCACGACTGCTTATTCAATATATTTGCAGCTTCCCTTCAAAACTGGAGGGCATCTCTTCCATCTGCTACCTGAGGACATGCCATGCCGTGGTGACAAGGGACCCACCTAACATGGATCAATATGTGATTACTGTATAAATTATTATTTTCAGAGTCATCTATGTAAGTGAAATGGTACATTTACATTTACATTTACATTTACATTTACATTTACATTTACATTTACATTTACATTTACATTCATGGATCCAATTGTCTTCCTGTAGGGCTTGATATAAAACATGTCACACATTACAAATTCATGACTACACATCACACATCCTTGGTCCAATAAAATATATAATCAGGCCTCACGCAGACAGCACAAGTTGTCCAGACAACACATATAGACCATGGAGAAACCACTGTCAAATTCACATCTTGCCATTCCATGCACATTGGTCAGCCATATCATCAATACAGTTTCATTATAACATATTAAAATTCATAACATGGATGTCATACATACTAGCACTTACAAGCAAGTCTCAACAACATGTAATACAAGCACACAGACCATTTATTAACTCTTAACATTTGAGCCCCTCACACGCTCGACAAATTTGCCTATAGAGTAAAATGAGTTACTTTGCAAATAATGCAGTTTATATAAGAATGCAGCATTAAAATGTCTACACATTTATTGGGACATTTATATCTGACATCTTTATATCCTGAGTGACATTCATGTCTCATGAAAATAAGGTACAGCAAGGAAAGCCAGTTTCTTAAGTTTGTAACCAATAGCCATTCCAAGTGCCTTACCTCATTTGTGCTTTTGCAGTGAAACCGTCGTAACTGTTTCAAATGAAAAGTAACTTCATAATTATCTGATTCGGTAAAATAATCAAGATGCTGTGCCTGTAAAAATTTTCCAAATCTTGAAAGGAACTGCCCTGGGTTACGTATCAAAATATCTTTGGCAATCTGTCGCTTTTGTTCACAACTCAATTCAGGTTCCCCTACTTGCTGGCTTTTAAAATATGCTACTTTGCTGTTCGCCAAGTGATCTAGCATTATGTTCTGAATTGATGTTTTGGAGTGGGAATCTTCTTCCATGGGAAATGGTAAGGTACCAGTTTTTATATCCTCGCAAATCTCCGTGGCATGGGAAACTGTTTCTGCCTCAGAAGCACACAGGTCAATACCCTTATCACAGTCCATTCGGTCCATTCTTTACATGAACTTCATCCACCAAACCTGTAATCGTATTTCAACATACTGAAACAAGAATATAACCTCAATGGCTCAATACCGCTCAATACTATATTCTCAGTTAAAATTTAAAACATCAAAAGCTGTCCAATCTGCACTTCCATAGTAAATGAATTACAATTAATACCATATGCATTTCAGTTATAAATAATCGATCACAAAACAAATACATGGAATATATTAAGAAACTTTACAAGAAATTTCATACTCCCATGCCATATTTGAAACGCTATAACAAATGAATAACGTAATTTCGCAGTCGCAATTAGGTCCAATCAGATCGCACTCTTAAGCCTATTAAGCGGGTATGTAACTTCTTGCTGGGAATAAGGCGTTTTGCCGAATTAGAAAAAAGTGTGGCAGCGTAAATGGTAGTAACTGTATGAACGTTGCAGAAAAAACACTAGCCGAACTAGATATCTTTGCTGTACATTTTTTTGCTGATGAGTACAGTATAAGGCACAAGCATGTGGAGTACATGTCAGCACACTGTTCTGCGTTACTCATTGCGTTTGATCATCATATGATGTAGTGCAGTTAAGGTTAGGTTAAGAAGATAAACCAGTTGTCAGGTGACAGTACAGCCAGGCTGAATAACTAGCAGCATTGAAGGTATTTATTATTATTATTATTACTATTATTAATTTTAATTTTAAGTTTTAATTTATGAGATACATACTTATACTCTTACAGATGGGCTTACTAGAGATAGTCATTCGTGTTTACTGATTATCACACTGGTAAATTACGACAGATTTTTTATGTGACACAAATATAATGAACGAATTTCAGACGAAGTTGAACATTCCTACCAAACCTGTCGTTGGTACTAAAAATTGGAATGACATTTTAGAGGCTTTACTAGCAATAACACTGTGATATTGACATTCAAACATCAGCAACTATAATGTTACAAAAAGATAAATAAGTCTGTGTTTTTTGGTGGTATCGGGTAAATATCTTTGGGTAGAATTCATTACTGTTTTTAAGGGGTTCTGTTTTGGTTTATACTCTTGAATTATCAGAGGAGAGAAGAATTGTGTTTCACTGTAGGTAAGATAAGAGAAAGTTTTCTGATATCAGAATACAAAGCCATAAAGATGTAGAGGCAGTTATAGCCTCAGAACTATGTGAAGATTAGTAGCAAATTTCACGGTAGCTGCCTTTACCCAATGTGAGGGCGCCCCAGTGTCCTTGAGTAAGAGGATGGTTGAACCCCAGGAGCCATTCTGGTTATTACAGTAAATCAGTTAAGTCCCAGTACCTCTTCTGGGAATCCAGTCATAGCTGTGCTTTTTGTGTGATAGAGATATGTATTTCCTCTTATTTTTTTTTTCAGTTACATAGTTAATTTATATTTAATGTTGGCATTGAAGTTGTTTACCCAATTTGAAGAAATCTTTGAAGTGTGAGCAGGCCATTAATGTCTTAAGAGTCCTTAACTGCTTCAGATGCTTGTGCAAAACAAAATAGCTCACTATGCAACAGAATGTTTGAAGCATTATGTCCTGTAGTCTGCTAGATGTTTAATGGCATCAATAAACTTATATCAGACTATGCAAGATAATGTCTGAGAACATGACAGTGTGCGTAGTCATTACTGTGAAGACCAAAAGTCACACAGTTACAGTACTGGTTCCTTTTCTGTGTATAAACAGTTTTTGTTACATTATCCCACTGCTCATACATTATGTTTAGTGGACTAAATTGGAGGCACACAGTAGCATAGTTGGTTGAGGCACTATGCTACAAGCTGGAAGGTCAAGGGTTTGAGTCCCAATGAGGTGGATTTTTTTTTTTTTTTCAATTCTTCCAGCCACACTATGGTCCTGTGGTTGACTCAGCCTCTAACAGAAATGAGTACCAGAAATCTTGGGGAGTAAAGGGTGGCCAGCATGTAAGGCTGACAGCCTTACTGCCATCTGTGAGCCGATTGTCGAGAGAAGATGTGGGAGCCTTGATGTCTCACAACCCTATGGGCCTTCACTGCCTGTTACAGGGATAGCTTTTTTTTTTTTGGACTAAGCTGAATGAAACAGGTTTTCTCAGAATTGCTCCAAATCCTTTGTTATTTATCTGGCCCTTCTTCCATCTTGTCACACATAAACAACAGAACTGACACAACTTAATATTCTTATCATTTTCAAATCCAGAAAGACTTTTGTGAAGGTTGTCTGGAATAAGTTATATGGTGTCAAGACTGAACTTCCTGAATATGAATAGTATTCTTTATGGAGAGGGGAGCTGTAATAGCTTAGTTTACCATTTTCATTTATTCCATCTGTTCCACGTCTTCCCATTACATGTTCCAGTACTTCATTTTCAGTTCCAACTTTGGCATTACATCTCCCATCACAATTTTTATATCCCTCTTATTACTGTCCATGACATCTCTAGATAATTGTGAATAAAATGCCTGTGTTTTTGTCAATTTTTGTTCCTTCAGTTGGGGCATAACATTGGATAAGTGTTGCATTTTGTATATGTCGTTAAAATTCTTTCATAGATTGGATACCATTCAGTGAGACTCCTTTTTGCAATTTTACTAAGTAAAAGTCCTACCCCACCAGGGCAAACAGGTCCTTCATTGTCATTACTTTCTGAATACAGAAAAGTAAATCCATTTTGGGTGGCCATTTCTCTGAAACTGCCCCATCTAACTTCACTCATGCCTAGGATGTCTAATGTACAATTTTCCATTTCTCTTCAGACTTGTTACTACTTTGTAAGGACCTTCCCATGAGGATTGAAGTTCAGGTGATTTCCCTTTCCTGTGGGCTTTATCGCCCAGCGCACAGGAAAGGGGAATCACCTAAACTTCAATCCTTGTGGGAAGGTCCATACAAAGTAGTAACCAGGATAAATGACGTGGTATACAGAATCCAGAAGAACCCTAGGTCGAGAAAATTGGTAGTACACCTGGACCGGCTCGCACCTTATTTCCACTCTGGGCAATGTTCTGACATTCAACAAACCAATTCTTGTTCTACATTTCAGGCCAAAGGTCATTTTTCCTTATGCAGTCCGGCTTTTCCTTGTCAATGTTTTGTTAATAAAATGCATTTAAGAGTAGTGGGTTAATAGCCCACTGACTCCGAATGTACTGGTGGGGCTGCAACCAAAGGCCCTGACACTGGCCCCAACAACACTGTTATCGGCCATGTAGTTTTTGTATGGCATAAGCAAGAACATTTCCTTCCTTGCTTAAAAAGTTGATTTGGTTATTCTGCCAGTACTGGGTCGCCATTTCCTCATCTATGTTAACAGGGTGCACCACTTGAAGGTGAGCTTGGCTTTTGGAGGCGGGAGGCTATACATATGTTTGCAGCATTCTCCTTTGCAGCCCACAGTATGATACAGGAGACAGTGTTGTATTTCTTGTACATTATGTAAGCGCGATTTCTCATATGGAGAAATATCTGACTAGTAGAATTTTTGTCTGGCTGGTGAATGGGTCCAACATTTGTTGATGTGTGTTCATATGTATATGCTGGCTTGCACAAACACAGAAGCATGGACTTCCAAGTGATATCCTCACATTCAGTGTATGTGTGTTTTTTTGTTTCAAATGATGCTCAGACAACTATGATATGGCAATGTAGCCATTATATCTGGTCTGGATGGAATGCCACTATCATGTTTATGTTGGTTTAGTGATAAGTTCTGTGAGTTTTTTTTTTTTGGAGGGATGGTGGATTGATGACCAAGTAGTGAACATATACCATAGCAGTTGAGTAAACAGTATAAATCAACCAATCCATTACACACAACTATAGGCCCACATTCCAGAAGATTGCTGTCTTTGGTTTAGAAATTGTTGCTAAATGTCTGAAGAATGAGTGAACTGTTACTTTGTTTATACTGTAGTGCTGTCGGTTATAACATTACATGGTCTTGTGGGTGGATTCAGGCGTTTCCAAGGTCTCCATCTGCAGGATTGATCTAGTTGCAAGATTACATGGTGTCAACTGAGGAGACCACAGTCTGAACAGTCACTCTAGGAAGACTCAAAACTTACATCAATGTGTTTAATTTATATGCAGATGAATAAGGGTTAAAAGTAAAGTATAGTAAAGCTATCCCTGTACCAGGCCGTGAAGGCCCATAGGGTTGTGCGACATTGAGGGTCCCACATTATCTAGACAATCGGCTTAAAGATGGCGGTAAGGTTGTCAGCCTTACGCGGCGGCCACGCTTGACTCCCCAGGAAAATTATTTAATTAATTCCTGGTACTCATGTCTGTTAGAGGCTGAGTGAACCCCAGGGCCATAATGTGGCTGGAAGGATTAGATCAATTGAAAAAATCCAGTGAGATGAATAAGGGTTATGCTAATCATACTTTTGAAGCTATACTTATGCCTACATGTTGGTTTGTTGCAGGTAGTTTTTAACTGAAAATGACAGCTCCAAGTGGTAGTTGGCTTCATTGGAACTGGGAAGATATGTGCGGTCCTGGTGGATTGACATTGTGGTCTGTGAAGGGCCATGATGTTGGAATCTGCTTTCAAGAACTATGCCTACAAGTGCCTGTATTTATGTTGATAGGAACAATTTCTGCATATTACTGTGGTAAACAGACCCAGTGGATTGTTCGTAGCCGAAAACAATTACAGGTGTTAGGACTGCGAGCCCTGGCAACTCTTCTCATGGCAGTAGCTGCTGCAGCAAGAATCTGCACTGCAATAGCATTAAGTCCAGGTTCTCTACAGCCAGTAGACTATTTTTTGGCTGTTGTTGAAGGAGTAACCTGGTTTGTACATCTTGGATTTATCCTAGCTTTGAGACATCATTCAGGAACATCATTACGAGGACCTTTTTCTTTGTGTGTGCTGTGGACCTTAAGTTTTGCTCTTTCTGCAATTTCCTTGCGTTCTCATATATTACTATACCATGGTGTTCCTTTGCCAGATTTATCAAAATTTGTATATATTTCCTATGGCTTCAGCATTGTAGAATTGGTTCTCCAGTGTCTTTATATGGTCACCTTGTTTCCAAGTGAGAGATCATGGAATGTTGGCGCATACGAAGGATTCGACCCGCACTTGCACAATTCTGAGAGCCAGAGTTTACTTGGTAAGTTATAAATTTATAGTTCTCTCATATTTGTTATGTGGATAAACTTAAGCGGCCTCCATAGTCTAGGGGTAACGTTCCCACCTCATGACTCAAGATACGCGGTTTCAAACCCGGCGGAGGTCGTGGAATTTTTAAGGGCGGAAAAATTCAGGGAACAAGTCCTCTGGTAGGGACTTTAAGCCGTGTGTCCCTTGTCGTAGATTTACGGCACGTAAAAGAACCTCATGTCTCTAGGAGACCTCTGAGCTAAATTAAGCAACAGTTTCCCGCCCAAGTAGTTTCCAATGCCTCTCTAGATGGGGGAAGTATCAAGGTACCGAGGGCCGACCTTGTTGGCTCAACGGGGCTGATAGCACGCACCAGTACCGGTAGGGTATGGAGACTGGTAGAATATCAAAGAGGGACGTACAATAGATCAACAACTGGTCGTGGTGCATGGGGAAACCCACCCCCTCTAATAATAATAATAATGATATGGATATACTTTAAATTGAGGATATTTCAGTCCACTCAGTGACTCTGTGTTGAAATTCCAGCTTCACCCCCTCTAATAATAATAATAATAATAATAATAATAAATATATGGATATACTTTAAATTGAGGATATTTCAGTCCACTCAGTGACTCTGTGTTGAAATTCCAGCTTCTCCCATCCTGTATAAGCCATTTGTAGACATAGAAAAGTTGTAGTTGCTGTTCACATCAGATCAAGGTATTTCCCTGAAGATCTATTCTAATACTGTTCCTGTTCTTCCAAGTGGGTGCTTCTCAAGGGATTTTTTTTTGTCAGAATTGTAAGTGCATTTATTTTTCAGAGCTAACAGATAGAGCTGCCATAAGCAGGAAGAGTTCTGTCTTCTGAGACATAACACCATGTAGTCCATGGAAAGTCAGCCACTGCTTTGGAGGAACATATTGCCTCCATCTTCAGGGTCAAAGAATGAGCAAGCACCTGCTTCATAATGGTTTCTTTTTTGGCTTATTCTTTGACACTGAAGATGGAAGTGTTAGTTGACTTTTAGTGGACTACATACCATTATATCCCAAAGCACTGAGCTCTTAATAATCACCACTGTGAAAACCTCTCTCTTCCTCTCTCCCTCT